ATCACGATTTCAGTTAAATAATATGGAACACATTCACTCTGAAACGTTTTTTACTGTAACTGCTTTGTCCTTTCTGTGTGTCTGTCATTAGGTCTTAAGCCTACAGAATTATTAGCACACCTAATACAGTTTCATTAACACATTCTGATGATCAGTTTCTAAAAACTGCTAACGGAAGAAAAATTTCTAGTACCTACAACTCATTGTTTGACTACTGATTGGCCCACAAACTATGGGATTGAATGCAACGTTTAAATTATAATTATGTCATTAGAAAGATACAATTAGCTTTATGTTCTTCGGTAGGTATCTATCGTGGCTACGATAGTCGTGTGGGTAGACCTGAAACTTGCTATTTAGTATACAATAATAATAATCGAAAGCCAGATACTATATTTAGGTATGATGCTATGCTTATAGGTAGAATACATATGTAACTGAGAATATTTGCACATGTGCGTTTGTATCTGTTCCGTTCAGAAATAAAGAATGATCGCTCTGTCGTATTTCCATCGTTTGCACTATAAACAATAACTATATTTAAATACCGGTACATTCGACAAATGTGGGCCAACACGAGCCATTGTCTGGTTTTTATTCGCAATCCTAAACCAGAACCGAGAAAGCGCTCCACTTGTTATGTTTATACTGTTAGTTGCTATTAATAGATAATAATTAACGTAAATGTATAAATTACAACTCACTCCCTTGAGCGGATTCTTTTTAAATGAGTTTCAGGACTTCTGTTTTATCCTTCAGTCACAGGATATTTGAATTCAAAGTCTTTACCAGTGTGTCCGTTGTCAAATTTATAAACAGCTGAACATACGATGAGTACTGCAGAAAAATAATTTGTTAAAATTTAGAATAATGTAAGGTCGAACTGTCAATTTAGAAATTCGAAAAGGATTGTTGATAATACACATTTGGTTCACGTAAAATGTGAGCATGGTGGGCAAGGAAGGGTTTGAGATATGGTGTAAAAGGAGAATGAGGAAATATTGGAAAGATTAGGAGAACAAGGGGCGTCATGGAGGTCAATAAGGAAATCGAAAGATATGATGGTAGAACACACCTGAGGCAAGAAGAGCTAGTCAGAGGCATGCCAGAAGCAGAAACGGGAACGAAAAAGGGCAGAGGAAGACCTTGACTGGATTAGTGTTCGCATGTTTACTGTTCACAGGTGGTTAAGGGTGTGGGATATTCTAGTTTTTGAAGGATATGAAAGGAGTGGAGATGCGTGTCTTACCTGTCTTAGGTCTGACCACGACAACCCTTTTTTGTGTCTCGCTTTCTGAGTATTTCGAAAAAGTATTAGAAATTGATTTTGATAAGTGCTTTCAAATAAAACTGTCTGGAATATTTACCGTGCTATCTAACGCTCTATCCTCACTTATTTTAATTATTAAATTAATACTTCTAGATTAAATAAATATAAATAATAATAAAATTTTGCAGTACTACTCCCCTAACCAAAAGAAAAAACTCGTTCAGTACGAGGGTGGATTGATAAGTTTCCGGCCTAACCAAGAGATGACGCCACTAGGCCTACCTTGAGGTGACATTCTATAGTACCATCCTTGGATAGCTTGTAGCTATAGTTTCAGCCCGATCTCCTTGCTAGTGTAGGTTTGACAGCACG